CTCCTCTGCAGCCAGTATGGAAAACAAAATGAGTTGGTGGAGAAACAAATTACCCTTGTTCCCTTTTTGCTGCTCAACTCCACGTTAGCTTGGAATCTTTTTACTAGACTGTTTTTTATTCATAAAAGAGGCCTGCGACTTTTGAGTTTTCTCCCTCCATTGCAAGTTTTAGTTGCCTAGAGGAAAAGCCATGCATTCACCTAGCTAGAATTATTGGTTACCAGTGCCAAGCAGGCAAGTAGCTGGGAAAATATAAAATATCAAACTGAGATTGGGAAGTAAGGAGATAAAGATGCTTAAAGCAACCAAGGTTGAAGAGAAATAGAATTTCTATTAATAGAATTATTAATACACTGAAGTGAACCAGATCTTAGATTTTTCTGTAACATCATGTATGTATTTATAAATACACCCAAAGTATGATATATAATTTAAAAAAAAAACATTCTCAGCCTTGATAACAAAGTCTAATCATCTTAAGGTGGAAACTCTTATTCTTACCCTCAGATTTCCTTAGACTTGTTGTAGCCTTCATAACATCGGCTAAGGCATGACGTAACTCATTCTTTGGCTGGAAGAAATATCTCTTGGTTAGTATCTGATTAGGTTAATTGCAATTAGCCAATGTGTTGATCAGAGTGCTGGACTAGGACTTGGTAAACACAAGTTCAAATCTCTACTTGAGAGTGAAGCTCGCTGGATCACCCTGGGACAGTCACCATCCGACAAGGTTGTTACAAAGATAAAACTGGGGGAAGAGAGACATATGATTACAAAGAAGGGGGGGGGGAGAAAAGGGGGAAGGGGGAGTACATGAGCATGGGATAGGTATATACATTAATACACTCATCCCTCCACATTTGCGGCTTGACTTTTGCAGATTTGATTATTCACAGATTTGATTAATATGTTCTCTCTAGGAATATCTAGGTCCTCCAGCACAACTCTATGGTCAACTTTAACTAAAAGTTGCACTGCAGGACCTAGAGCTTCCTAGAGAGAACACTCCATTAGGCATTTGTAGCTCCTCCAGCACAATTCTGTGGTCACTGTCTGGCAGATGTTGACCACAGAGATGCACTTGAGGACCTAGAGATGCCTAGAGAGGTGTTCTCTCAGGTAAGAACATAGTGTTTTTGTTATTTGCAGTTTTCCCACATTCACGGGAGTCCTCTGCCCTAAACCCCAGCAAACGTGAAGGGAGAAGTGTATAAGATTACCAGATTTCCAAAAAGCACATTTTCTTCTTGGAAGTTTGGGTCTGTAAAATACGTTCTTGATTAGTTAAAGCATGAAATCCTCTGACCATTGAATATGGGAACATTGACCATAGGAAAATGTTTACCTTTCTGGCCTTGGAGTACAAGTCTTTTAGCAACTATAAAAGCACGCAGGATCGAACCATCTTGACCATTATTTAAATTCCATGTCTTGTTAACTTACATTTAAATATAAATTCCTCCTATTTTCCTGTCAAAGCCAAATATATTAGAAACTATACTGCATTTAAGAGTTTGTACCTGTGCTCCTGCCAGAATGGCACTTTCATAAATACCAAGGACCTTTTCAGTAGAACGGAACTGTTCAAGGCGCATCTGGCATACCCAATACTTGGCAAGCTTCTTTGCATCTGGAACTTGCAATATGAGCTTTTCCAAAGTGGAATGCACTGCTTCTCCAGGATAACCCTGACAAGAGTTATACAACAGTATGGATTTTATTGAACATGAACAAGAAAGCCAATTTTGTAAAAGTTGATATTTGATACATGAGCTGGGAGCCCAGGCAACCAAGTGACAGTAGAGAATCTCCAAACAGATACAGGTTAACTGACAAATGGCAAAGAACGTTCAGTCCCTCAGCATAAAGCAAGGGTGGGTGAAGTGTGCTTTGCAGGCTGCATATGGAAGCCAAATGTGGCTTCTGAAGTCCCCCAAAGCCTCCAAGATTAATTTTCTTTTTTTAAAAAACTGGGCCAATTTTCAGGTAATTTTTTTGCTTCCCAAAAGTGCCTGAACCACAGTGGTTTGCTTCTCCTGGCCCTCCAAAGATCCCCAAAACACAAAATGTAAAAAGAACCAGCCAAATAGTTGAGCAGGTATGACAAAATTTACCAGTATGGCTTGCTGGGTGGGAGCAGAATAGAAAAAAATGAGCATCATCCCCATGCAGAGGTATCAACCTTGCTCTAAAGAGATGAGGTGAGGAATCATATCTGCTTTAATAAATGTCCAGAGAGTATAGTCAGGTTATATGTTCATAGAGCCAAATGTTACAGTCTAAAGGTAAATGTTCAAGGAGTATTGTCCTGAGACTGTGACATGCTGTTGCTTCCCATAGTCTTAAACATTTGACATACAGAGACATAATCATGATTATGTCTCTGTATGTCATATGTTTAAGACTATGACCCAACCTCTCACCTTCTCAATTAAAGACTATGGCCCAAATTGGCCCAACCTCTCACCTTCTCAATTAAAGACAAACATTCTGCAAGTGTATTATTGACTCCATCACTGAAAAGTCCTTGCTCATCTTCCTCTGCTATGGCAGCCCAAAAGGACTTAGCTGGTTCTTTTGCAGTTTGCCCAATTGTTTCTATTTCAGGCTGAGTATTAGCAGATATTGGAGCAGGTGGCTTCTTGACCCCTTTCCATGACTGCCATTCAGCTAGCTGAGATCTGTAAGTAAGTGTATTGAGACAGTTATCAAACCTTTCCTTTGCTCCACAACAGCAGCAAATCATTTAACAGACCACACTGATGTACTCCAACTAAATGCATAAGCATGGTTAGAGGCAAATAGGGATACTCAAGAGCCAATACACAATGTCTTCCATTCCAACTTGCTCCAACTGCAAGAGGTAACCATGGTGTTCTCTCTCCTCCAGTGTTAACATTAAAGTTAGAAAATTCATTTCAAATTATGCACAATAACAGTTAGCAGAAATACCAGTACAGACATAATGAATCATGGCTCTGAATCCATAAGAAGTGCCTCCACAGGTTGGGGGAGAAAGAAGCACATGAGATTACAATGCATTCACAATATCTTAACCATAGTTCTGCAGACAGCATTGTATCTGTACTAGGCCAGCGTGAAAGGAGAAAATCATGAATTCTTTAAAGATGAGTCAGGATTTCAGAAGGGTTTGCAGAGCAAGAGTCAAGAACAGCAGTTAGGAAATTTGCCCCAATAATAGTGAACAGATTAATATCTCACTGTGCTTATTGCAAGGGCCCTTCTGCCTACATTCAAATATTTCATATGTATTTTTAAACATTCT